ATAACATTCGTTAAAAGTATTTTGGATATCTTCTTATCAACTCGTCAAGCTCACACTAACTACCCACTCACCCACATCCACTATCTCCTTTCATGTGGGCCATGTGTTGTTCTATCCCATCCCATCACCACCCCACCCCTCCTCACACCACCCCACACAGCCTCTCTCACACACACGCATGCACACAGCACACACACACGCACACACACTTCGCCTGCACAACACTGTCTGACACCGCTAGTCTGTCGTCGCGGCCGCAACCTCCCAAACTTCGGTCGCCTCTCCAATCTATGCCACCCTCCGCCGCTCTCTCCAGTCGCCGTTGTTGCCTGAATCAGGTTTGGCAGGCTCTCCGCCGCGGGCGGCTGCGCGCTCCTCTTGCCGACATCCATTGATCTAGCGCCTGCCACCAGCCAACCTTCGTGATCCGCGACCAATACTTGCAGACCATCGTCGTCCCTCCGTATGTCGACAAGTCCTCTCGTTCTCCGCCCTTCGCGATGACCTCCATCAACCACCCCATCTTCCGACAGCTCCTTAGCCAGGCTGATAATAAACACAACTTCACAATCTGGGCCAGGCCGCTTGCACGACGAACCATCGAAGGGCGGGGAATACGCATACTGCGACGTGACCAAGCGGCAAGTCCGAGGACAAACGAGTTCATTTTTTGGGGTTGGGGATGATTTTTGAAAAATAGATAATTTCTAGGGACTTATTTGAAATTTCAAGAATTATAATATAATGAAATTTAGTTCATGGGTCATGTTGACGAGCGATTGCCAACGACTATTAATTATGAAACTCAAAAAGCAAAATCAAAACTAAATCTTCTTCTTTTAAAAAACTCTATCTCGTTCTCCTCTATGACTTCACTTCGCCTCGCTTCGTTTGTACCTGGCAACTTCGAGTTACTTCATTCCTCAAACTAAGCGAAGGGATCAAGTCTGATTCTTAGAGATTTTGACCAGAGGAGCATGAGCATGAAAAACGGAGGCAAAAGCTGTGGCACTTCTGCATTTCTTCCTTATTAGGATTTCAAGAGGGCTTTCTTGGTTATTTCTCTCCCCTCCTTGACGTCTTTAACCCTCTCCCGTTGGTCGTTAGATTTGTTTAATGTGAAGGACCTATGAGAATTATTCTACTGTATAATGAAAGAAAAGAAAAATAAATAGCACACACAATTTTAGCGATCTGTCGAGAGATGGACAAGAAGAGTGAATTCTCCGAAAATATGCTCGCAGAGTGTTTTTGTTACAATGGTGGCTCTAACTTTTAGCCTTTTGAAGAACTATGGTACTGCTATATCGTTATCTCTTTTTTGTGAGGAGCTGGATGCCTTGTTTATACGACAAAATGGTAAAATATAATTATGGTCGATTGCCACCTTGATAGCTAGGTGATTGATGTGTGGTGCCATACAGAAATCTGTCTTTTGATGACGAGACATATATTATTCAGTCTTGCGAGACAAGACCCCCTGAGTGATGGTTTCACCGGTTTCAGTGGCTTTACCGGTTAGATTTTTCAGAAGGCGTTCACATTCTGCAGAGAAATCTGCAGTGAGGGATCGGCATGAACTGACTCTGATTGGGGAATCGGCAGACCAAATCCTTCTATCTTGGGCCATTTGCGATGCGGTCCGTTTGTCTCATAGGCCTTACTGGTGCTTCATTTTTAATGAGTCGTGTTTTTCTCCCTTTTTATGTGGTTTTTTCCGAGGTGCACATACAAAACAAGGCCCTCAAGTTTCTAGGTCACCAAGGCGATCGCAAGATCTCCGTGGAGATCATATTAACCAAAAGGTCAACTGGGCATGATCGACATAGAGATGTGTTATTGCACAATCATAGAGGAATCCAAGCTTTCTTTAAGCAGGTAAGAGAGTAATTGGGACAACTCGCATTTTTTGCGGGATAAGTGGCAGTTGTTGGAGGTGGTGATATGTAAGTCTTCACAGTAACTGATAATCCACGTTTGAGGTTTGGGAGTTGCTTTTCTAGTCTCCTCCCCCGACCACACAACATACACGTGGAAGAACTCGCCAAATGACGACGATGTCCCTCGAAATTCGTCAACAATCTGTCGCGAGCTGCAAGCCAGAGGAACTGGCGAACCCGTTGAGGACCGACCCACTTCCACATAGTTTTCCATAAGGTGCGAGTGTGAGTCGACTCAAGCGGGAATAAAGAAGTGTACGCTGATCTAGTTGTAAAGCGGCCATCTGCCGAAAGCCCCCAGTACATAAAGTCGTCGTCGGCATGCTGGTTCGGAGGGAGGACCGAGGCAATACGAAGCAGTACCCCAGTTGGTAGTAACCCCGCAAAAACGCCCCAGTTCCACTCGCCTGCATTCGTCACAAAGCTCGCCACTAATAGTTCCTACTGGTCCCCCGGGATCGGGCTAGTCGTCAGTGCATGCAAAGGCGTCGACTGATGAAGCCAGTTATCGCGCCAGAACCGAGCTCTAGTGCCATTGCCAATAGACCATCTTACCCATTTCTTGAGTGCCGACCACACTCTCTCGATTACCCGTAGCACCGTAGATCCCTTGAAAAAGGTAAAATCTTCACCCATGGAGTTTATCTGTAGCTTGTATTTAGCCAAAATCAAGCAGACCCACAACGTATCCGGTTTTGTCAAGAGGGTCCATCCCAGCTTCATTAATAATGCCATATTCATTTTCCTTTGACGCTTCAGGCCAAGGCCCCCCGCTTGCCTGCTTTGACATACACTCTCCTAAGGAACGAGCGGGACCTTTCTTTGAGTGCAGGTGCCTCCCCATAAGAAAGTTCGACATCGATTCTCCACTTTGTCGCAAACTGACGTAGGAAGCCACGTCGTCTGCATGGTGTAGTATGGGAGGGTGCTCACGACCGAGTGAGTCACGACACAGCGCCCATCAAAAGACAAGGAACTTGCTTTCCATCCTGCTAACCGACTATCAACTTTAGCAACAATATTATCATAGGTCTGAGAGGACACCCGACCATGTATTAATGGGACACCAAGGTATTTCTCCAGAGAATCAACAATTGAGAATTGGAGCAAGTTCGGCAACGACTGTTGCCATTCCTGTAAAACATTTCTTGAGAAAAACACATTGGTTTTGGGCTGGCTCACCTTTAATCCCGATTGGCCACAAAAGTCCGCCAGCACATTCTTGACTAACAATGCTTGGTCATCAGAGGCTTCGAGGAAAAGCAACATATCATTGGCAAACATTAAGTAAGGGACCCGGACAGTGCCATTACCCACGTGGATTGGTCGCCATAAGCCCTCATTAACCCGAGACTGTATCAAATGAGCTAACCTTTCGATACAAATGGCGAACAAGTGAGGCGACAAGGGGTCCCCCTAACGAACACCCCGAGAGGGTAAGAAGATGTCACTAAGCTCCCCATTAAATTGGAGTTGCATAGAGGCTGAGGTGACACAAGCCATGATAGTGCGGACCACTGAAGCCGGGAACCGTGCTAGGGTCAAAGTACCTTCAATAAATTCCCAATTCAAATAATCGTATGCCTTCTCAAGATCCACTTTAATAACCATGTATCCCTCCTTACCGGTTTTGATACACATAGAGTGAATAAGTTCTTGGGCGACCACAATATTATCCATAATATGGCGCCCTGGAATAAAGCTTGACTGGGCGTGGCCTATTAATATAGGAAGGACTGGCTTCATCCTGTTCACAATAATCTTAGTGATAAGCTTGTAAACCACATTGAGTAGACTAATCGGGCGGAATTGCTGGATCGAGACAGGGTCCCCACCTTAGGAATGAGCACGAGAATGGTCTTATATAACTCATCCGGCACTATCCCGTTTCGAAAAGCATCCTGTACAAGATTGCACACTTTGGGCCCGACACTCTCCCATTGCCTTTGAAAGAACAAAGCATGAAGGCCATCGGGCCCCGGGGCTTTGAGTGGCGGCATTGCTGCTAAGGCGGCAAAAATTTCCGGGTCTTCCACTGACCGTGTCAAAGGGGATAAAAGCCGAGTGGGCTTTGCAGGGAATAAGTTCTGAATATCCGTAACCTGACCAGGCAGACCCTTGGTATAAATGCCTCAAAAGTAATCCACCGCTAATGATCAAAAATTTCTTGGTGTTCCACTGACCGTGTCAAAGGGGATAAAAGCCGAGTGGGTATTGCAGGGAATAAGTTCTGAATATCCGTAACCCGACCGGGCAGACCCTTGGTATAAATGCCTCAAAAGTAATCCACCGCTAATGATTCCATACCTTTCTGGTCCCCCACCCAGTCTCCATTGGGGCTCATGAGAAAAAGAATTCTGTTACGGCGTCGGCGATGCTTCACCTGGCGGTGATAGTATGTAGTGTTCCTATCCTCAAAAAGCGTCCAATCTCGAGTGGACTTCTGAATCATTAATAGTTCCTCGTGTAACGAGACCTCTTTGAGCTCCTTTTGCAAGGATGAAACCAGATTAATGAGGCGGTGAGTGGTGTATTTTTGGAGCTCTCGTTGGGCCCTTGGAATTCGCCGAAGCAGCCTATTTTTCCGAAGAAATATGTTACCAAAGACCTGGAAGTTCTATTCGGCAATCTTGGTCGTGAAAGAACGAGCAGCCTCGAAGTAGTCGACTCCAATCCAATTTTGGCGCACCAGATAAGGAAAACCGTCATGCAAGAGCCACGCTGCAAGAAATTTGAAGGGTTTCCTCCTTCGAGTAGGTACGTGGTGCTCCATACAATTCACAAGCAGTGGGAAATAGTCTGAATTGGTTCGGGGAAGATGTTGGACTAAACCCATATGGTATTTAGTCAGCCAAGCCGAATTCGCAACAAACCGGTCAAGCTTCTACTGAAGGCCACCTCTTTCCCATGTGAAGAGAAAGTCATCCGTGTGGACTTCATGGAGATCGCAATCGAACAACCAGTTGGAGAAGTCGTGGCTGATAGAAGAGCGATTCAGGGAGCCTCCATGTCTTTCATCATGACGGAGGATACAGTTGAAATCGCCACCAATAAGCCAAGGAGCACTAATTCCCGACGCCAAAGCTCGTAATTCTGGCCATAGCGAGCGTCTAGTTGGAGAATCAAGTCGGTGAATCACAAACATCGAAATGCTCACTTTAAATGTTTGAATTTAAGGTTATTTCTAAAAATTTTAAAAATGCATTTAGGCGACATTTTTTGAAAATTCTCAAAAAAGATTGTCAAGTTTAATAAGTTTAAAAATTTTAGATGAAATTTTAATTTTTATTTCAATTAAATTCTTATCTCCTTTTTTTATTTTAATATATATAAATGTATTATTCGTGCACGCGTACTGGAAAATGTTTTTTTGCCTTTTTTTTCTAATCCGAACTCGGGCCCAAATCAAATGACCATACTGCCACCAGACTTTATTTTCTTCTTCCCCAAGCTCTCACAAGTCACAACCTCTCTCAAAGACTGAATTTTCTCCACTCTCCGAAAGCCGATCTAGAGTCGAGATTCCTTAGACAGAATGACGAAAATTTCAGAATCCTTGCCGCCAAAGGGTGGGTTTTCTTTCGATCTTTGCAAGAGGAATGAGATGCTTTCGAAGAATGGGTTGAAACAACCATCTTATCTGAAAACCGGGACCACTATTGTCGGATTAATTTTTCAGGTATATTTGAGTGTTTGTGTTTGTTTATTTATTCTGCTTGGAAATTCGTTGTTTTGATCTTTGCAAGTTCGGTTTGCATTTTAGGTTGTCCGTGTACTTTTTGAGTCGAGACTAGGGTTTTTGAATATAGAATAGTCCTTATTAATACTTTAGTGGCAGAATTTGGAATTTTTGAGTGAGCATTTCGATGTTTGTGATTCACCGACTTGATTTTTGGATCGTCTTGTTATCTTGCGTGGATACAACAACCTGATTTTTGCACCTAAAATGTATATGTACGTTTTAGGGGTTTCTAGACCGTTCTCGTTTTAAATGACTTGGTGTTGTATAGGAGGCATACTACGTAATGTGTTTGGCAGGAAATTTCGTTGTTATGTAATCAGTGATAAAGTAGCTCAGTGTTTATTTAGTTTATTTTGTTGTGGATTATTTTATGGAATATTTTGTTAATTGGTTTTAAGTGCTTGTTGTGGGTAGATCTTGAAAGCATTTTCTTTGTGGGTATATATGTGTGTGTGTGTATGTGTGTGATCGTGTCGATATTGAATTCAGCTAATGATTTTGCTTTCTTGCTGAATTTATTGGTTGCTTTAGATATCAGAAAACTGAAGTAGCTCTTATCTGTGTTATTGTTGAACTAAATGGATAATGTATCGTTTATTATTTAGTCACGTTCTTTTTCTGATGTGTTTGTGAGTGACATTTTCCAGATTTAGGCTAGTCCATGTATTTTGTCACTGGTAGGACTTCTCTGGTTGATGTCGTATTATATTTAACTGGTGAATAGAGTCGACTGCTTTGAAAGTGCTTTGTTTCACTTGTTATGTTATATGTTATGTTATGTTATGTTATGCTCTTACACCGAGTGAAATGCATAATAGTCAAATGTTATTCACATACTCTCTTTTGCCTTCCTTTTGAGAGCATAAAGATAGTGAACCTAGTTTTTACTTGATCTCCAATGAAATATCTTGTGATGTTGTATGAAAATCTACTTAGTACTACTGAAATTAGTCGTATCTTACACAAACTGAGAATACCTTTTATTAGCTTGACTCGAGGATGTTAGTTGACTGAATATTTATTGCTATTTGATAAAGAAGATGGAGCGAAATAGCTGACTATTCACTTTATTATCTATCCTTGACAACTATGCTTTTAGGACGGTGTCATTCTTGGAGCTGACACACGTGCCACTGAAGGCCCAATTGTTGCTGATAAGAATTGTGAGAAGATCCATTACATGGCTCCTAACATCTACTGCTGTGGAGCCGGGACTGCTGCTGATACGGAAGCTGTCACAGGTATCAACTTACTAAATTTGCTCCTCTCCAGTTTTACTCTTTTCTTGTGATGTACATCTAATGCTTCATTATTTTATGCCTTCTGCTAGACATGGTTAGCTCCCAGCTGAAACTGCACCGCTTTCATACCGGTCGTGAATCTCGGGTTGTGACTGCTCTCTCTCTTTTGAAGTCTCATCTCTTCAGGTGACTTTTTGTTCTGGGCTTGGTGTCATTGTAGCATAATCATTTCTAGTATTTAGACTATAATTTTCTAAAATACCTTGATTTTACTTGTGAATTAGCTATCAGGGTTATGTATCGGCTGCCTTGGTTCTTGGTGGGGTCGATGTGACTGGCCCTCATTTGCATACCGTGAGTTATTTTTTAAGGGAAAAGTTAATATTTTCAATTATGTATTTTTATTTTGTTGCGATCTAACATGTTAAATGACATACTCCAAGATATACCCCCATGGTTCAACCGACACACTACCATTTGCCACCATGGGCTCTGGCTCACTTGCTGCGATGGCTGTTTTTGAATCGAAATATCGTGAAGGACTAAGTGTGAGTTCATTATTTTTCTTTTTAGTATCCAAGTGCTTACAAGTTTGAGTTTTTCAAATTGACCCATAAGAGATTTAATGCAGAGGGATGAAGGAGTAAAGCTAGTAGCTGAAGCAATATGCTCTGGGATATTTAATGACTTGGGAAGTGGAAGTAACGTAGACATCTGTGTTATAACAAAGGTTTGTCTTATAATTTGTGTTCTTATTTTCCAGGCACCCATAATTGTTGTATGATTTGTAACGAGTCTTTCTTGTGTTTCTTCAGGGGAAGCAAGAATACCTGAGAAATTATTTGCTGCCTAACCCTCGTACATATGTCAGTGAGAAGGGCTACACTTTTACCAAGAAGACTGGTTAGTATTTTATTATTTGTACTAGTTGAGGCTTGAGACAATATTGCTCTCACTACATTTTACGTGACATATTGTGTACTTTAAGTCCTTCCTACAGTTACCTGATTAATTATCTGTGCACTTAAATGTATCCACTTGCGTGTGTGTGCCTGCTTGCAGAGGTGTTGCTCACAAAGATCACACCATTCAAAGAGCTAGTAGAGGTGATTGAAGGTGGAGATGCAATGGAAGAATGAAGTGTCCTGATTGAAACCCATCATGATGGTTCACATAAACATTTGTGGTTTTGCTCATTTGATTTGTTGGATGAACTATTTGACATTATGAGTGCTGAAGATCTGTCTCGGTCAAAACTTTGTATCCATGTTGCAGCATATTAGAGATTATAATACTTATCTAAACTTGTCTTTTTATTAATTTAATCAACTTCACCGTCATCATTGTTATTATAATCTGTTACAATGTAAAATGGTGCTGGCTGTGAGTCCTATCAAGTACCATTGGTCTCACGCAGTGTTGCCCATGTGAATGAAATTTGACAAATTTTTGAGTTGGTGAAACATGCAAAAGATTATGAACCTATTAATAGTAGGCAAAAGAAATTAAATTGTAAGTGTAGAATATAACAAATAGCTAGAAATTGGTGTTGCATTACAAGACATGCCTATAGATGTTTCATCAGCTTATGGTGAACCATTTACTCTCCTTCGTGTAGTATATATCCACATCATGTCTAAAATATATCCACATCATGTCTAAAAGCTTTGCGAATATTTAGATCCACTCTATAAGAACATAGAACCACCCAGGAATTTTTTTGTGATATCTTTCACAATTGACTTGAGCTTGGGGTAGTTTTTGTCATGACTTTCATATCTGGTGCTGTCAATAATTTTGAACCACTGGCTTTCCGGGTCGCACTTGCTTTCTTTGTCCAAGCATTTGCAGTCATTTGTGATGATGTTGTTGTCCGAGTTTATATCCAAACATAGAGTGGTACCATCTTGGAGTTTCGAAGATAGGTGCATCTTAGAGTTGGAAATAGCTTCCCATTTAGAATCATCTTCGTTGCAGAATATGCCCAGTGTTGCGAGGTGCCCTAAGCCCTCTGCTTGTAGACAGAAATATGTTCCCATTATAGTTAATGTTTGTTGGGGAGTATACTTCCACTGTTGAGCTTTGGGGCAAGGACCTAAAACCAGCTTAGGTGGGTAAAAGTAAAAGAAATTAGTCTGCACACAAAGGCCAGTCATAGGATGGAAAAGTAGTTTGTGTGGATGTGCTTCTGCGTAACCCGGTCCTGCATTAATTGAATTCACATAAGTTTATAGTTAGTAATTCTATTTTGTAATGTGATGTGAATCTTCCTATTATTTATCAAGTACCTGTAAATGTATACTGGAGAGCTGATATCTTGTGCAGCATAGTTTGATTTCTGATGTCACACCAATTCCAGTTGAGAACTCCATAAGTCTCATCATGCCCAACAACTCCTTCCCTTATATAATAACTACCCGTAAGGGCCCACAATGCCCAGTCTATGTCGAGCTCGGCTGCCCATCCCATTAGACAGTGCAAGAACCTATTGTCGTTGACATTAGTGCCCCTCATATCGAAACCAAACTCGCTCATGAACAAGGGGTACCCTTGGTCTAACAAGAAACCCACTTTCTTCTTTATGTCCGCCATTTTCTCTCCACACACTTGATTCAAGTTGCCCGACTTCCATGCTTGTCCATCTGAGAAACCATACCAGTGCATCTCAAATGCTAACTTGTTTGAGAAACTTAAGTTCACTGGTTTAGCGGCTAGGAAAGAGAGATCCAAGTCAAAATTTAGGCCGGAGAGGATGACGATGACGTTAGGGTTAGCTGCGTGAACTGCTTCTGCTCCACGCGTCATGTGTTTGTACCAATCGTTTACGTTTTGTCGAGGCCCTCGGAGTTCATTTCTCAAGCTCATGGCGACTACATTGTTTGTGTCCTTGAAAGTGGTGGCAACCTTGGTTAGGCCCTCTAACCACAGGTCAGGGTCAAAATACTTGTCCCCAAAGAACCCATTCTCATCAAAGCTGCTGCAACACCAACCAAGGATGCTTATATGGTTGTCAAGTATGATCAGCACATTGTTCTTTGCAAGACTAGCCACTACCGCCTGCAAGAAAAATAAATAAAATAAGAAAAAAGACAATTGTTATATGATTTTAAGGGGTTTGATTATGCCATTAAAACTAATTTAAGTGGGATAACCACGTTTATATATATGTGTTTTAAGAAACCAACAAAATTTAATATTTATCACTGCTTTCTGTCGACAGCTATCAATCACCTTATTCTGTCTCCACCAAACTTAAGAAATAATTATACATTAAGATGTGAAATTGGCTCTCTGGCTCATTCTATAATCACCTTATTCTGTCCCCACGAAACGATTCTCGATTTGTTTACTATTGGATTGATTCAGTTTTAGTTATTAAAAAGAGTCAAAGCCTTATCCAGACTACGCTTTAATTTTTTGAGAAAGGAAGAAGCAGAAAGCAACACCAGCCATAATAATTGCTTGATGATGTGTACATGTTGACTTGTAAGTTTGATATTGTCCAATTTATGAGTTCCAGTTATATTTTAAAATATACTATGATTTAAAAGCACGTCTGTTAAATTTCCGTGCGACCTATGTAAAAACTTCTACACACAAATTTAAATATTGAATTAACTGTTTCGTGTTATTACTTGATAATAACAAATGAGAATAAAAAAATGAGAAACAAATAAATTAGAAATTACCTGGTAAGCGTCGAGTAGGGAGAGATCAATAATGGCGGGATTGTTGGTCTGAAAACCGGCGATGGACTCGAAAAGTCCGAGGTTTGTGAAAGAGCGTCTGACAGTGGTGGCAGCCAAAGTGTCGTTGGTGAACAAGAAGAGCGGCCACGTGAACCTTACGCAGTTGAAGCCCATATCCGCGATTCCCTTTGAAATCGTATCTACCGGCCGCTTGCTCAGCCCCTCGGCCACACCCGCCTCCAAATGGGACGGCCAATTAACACACGACAGCTTCACGCGCTTCCCCGAATCGTCCACTATCCACCGAGACTCCGTGTGGAGCGCTTCTGTGCCCACTATACCACACACAAATAAGCATAACAACCAAATGGATTTCTCCATCTCTATT